TCCTCCTGTCTCAGCCTCCGGAGCTGCTGGGATTATGTGTGTGCACCATTGTACCCGGCCTTCTTGAAAATTTTCAGATTACTCTAGGAGCTGCACAAAGGTTGACTGGCAAACATGAAGTCAGAGGCTGAGGGAAAAGTTGGGGTTCTATTGCGGGAACCAGGTGAAGGTGACAAGGGCCAGAGGGGGAGGCGCTTAGAGAATGATATATTTCATTTTAAAAAGAATATACTAAAGAACATTTGTCTTGAAAAATATTATAGAAAACTAAAGAAAAACTTTGTGTTATATCTTTATAGAGTGACTTTGTGTTATATTTTTACAACTCTTTAAAAAGTCTGTCTTAATTGAAGACAGAACTGGATTCTCACATCTGCTTTGCATTCAGTATGATGCAGTATGGTGTTTTGGTTGAAGTGTATAAAGAAAATATGGCCTGAAATAGACTTTGGAAAAGGGAGGAGACTTTAATAAACCTTACAGGCAATTGTGGATATTCCTTTTTTTTTGGGGGGGGGGAGTGTGCCAGGGATTGAACCCAGGGTGCTTAACCACTGAGCCACATCCCCAGCCTTTTTAATATTTTATTTAGAGACAGGATCTTGTTAAGTTGCTTAGGGCCTTGCTAAGTTGCCAAGGCTGACTTTGAACTCGTGATCTTCCTGCCTTGGCCTCCCAACCTGCTGAGATTACAGGCATGTGACATTGTGCCCGGCTAATTGTGGATATTCTTAATGCCACAAGAAAAGTCTACCAGTGAGAGTTCTGAAAGGTCAGTTGCAATGTGGAACCTGAAACCATACTACCTGCTTGTGCTGTTACATTGTTCTAGCTACCACGGGACCTTGCCCTCTTACATGACCTTACAACATCATGTGATAACTGTTTAAAAATGCTGGCTCTCTGAGTTATGCATATCTTTGATGTTAACACATTTCAAAATAAAAGATCAAAAAGTTACTTGTTCGTTAAATATTATTCATTTATTCACTAGGGGAAAAAATAAACACCTTCCCAAAATAATCTCTGTGTATTAGGAAGCTGTCAAGCTCATAGTGCCATCTTCAGCTTGAAATCTGAATCTTCAGCCAAGACCTCTCCACTGAGTTCCAGACTTGGGTATCCAGCTGCCTACTTGACATCTCTTCACTCTTCCAAAGGCCCCTCAAAAACTCAGCATGAAGAAGATACTCAGGCTTTTCACTGAAAGCTGGTCGTCTGCCATGTCACTAGCCAGGAAAAGATCAGCAGGAATGTGAGCCAGAAACCCCTCACATGTCCCTCTCCCTCACTACCACCTCTGTTCCCATAAACCCAGAGCCAAGGCCTGTCAATATTACCTGATAGTAGAGTGTATCCATGCCTGTCCATAGACACAAGTGGACACACAGAAACTCTTAGGCCTTAGCACAGACAGGTAAGAGAAGCTATCCCACAATTGGCTCAGCAAGAAGTTCAGGGCCCCAGAACCTGGACATCAGGCTTAGGTGATGTGGATCATTGAGTCACTGGTTGTATAAGATGCATTTGAGTCTAGCCTTGGAGTTGACTGGGGCACGTTTTTCAGGTGCCAGAGACTGGCTCCTGAAGGCCAAGAGGTGGTCTGTCAAGTTTCCGTTCCAATACCTCAGAGAGGTCATGGAAGAAAATGTGGGTTTCTCCAAGAGAAGACTGTTCCCCATTGCCCACCCCAGAACAGATCCAGGGAAAGTTTCTCTGAAACTCCTTCATGTGACTCCTTATATTTTCTGAGTCTTTTGAAACTAGAAGGGAATATCAGATGTGGTGAAATTTTGAAGTCTTCTCAGGTGCTGCATCCAGTCAACACTGTCTCTGCTGCCAGTGGCCTTCTACCTTTCAGGCAGCCAAGATGGCAGACCCACCTTGAAATTGTGACACTGACCCAAGAGCATCACTTTTGTCACTCTGCTCAGACCATCTATCTAAATCAGAGCGATTCCCATAACCTCTGCAGGTAAGTGAATCAAACACTAAACCAGTCATTTGTAAGAGGAGTGAAATAAAAAACATGCAAATTTTCTAAGAAATTTATTTGATCGAGTAGCAATATATGAAGACATTTTAAACAATAAGTCTGTATTCAGACATAATGTATTCTTATTATAATGTTATCAATGTAAATGGTACCTAAAAACACTTTGCTATAATGTGTCTGTATAAAGCACTCATAAAATCCTCACGTATTTTAAAACTGTTGTAAGAATAACAGAAAACCCTGCAAATAGTACTTAGACGCAGACTTCTTAAGTTTATGACATACCATTTACACACAGGTGTTGGGCTCTGTGGTCAATCATGGCTACGTCAGTGAGAGCTGTCTTTGGAGGAGTAGAATCAGGGCAGTGCATATGCCTCGGCCCCCAGTCCCTTCATAACACCCCACTGAATCCTTGCTACTCTGAGTTGAGTAGGTGGGAATTCTAATTGCTCTAGTTGGTAACAGTTAGAAAATGAGGTTGGAAAACCAGGGTTGGGAAGGGAAAAGGGAGAGGAAACTGAGGTGTGGCAGGATCAAAGGTTTCTATAAAGTAGCTTAAGAAATGACTAGGGAAATTAAAGGGAGAAGGAAAAAAAAAAAAAAAAGCAAATCCTTGGAGCTGCACCCTGGGGTTTGCAAGGAGAAAGAGATCACCTTTCCAAGGGTGGAGGCTGCAGGCCATGTGGTTGGCTGGGAGCTACCACACAGTAGCATGGAATTTTACTGCAGGCACCTGCCTCTTTATCTGGGTGTACTGGGGACATGGCAGTATGTAGGTTACATCAACTTTCCATAAAGGAATGGCAGTCAAATGACTGTCTTTGGGGCCATGATAGGACCTAAGAGGCAGAAACTGGTAGCTCCTAGCACAAAATGTGACCCGTGGTTAAAATGAAACTGAGTGATGAGAGAAATGGAAAAGACTCCAAAAAAAACAAGGACAGTGACTGAAATATAATCATATAGCACCCATTATTACTAATTTAAGATATTAGATAAACATCATAGAGGATTTATATAGTATCTTTGCTATCTTATTCTTTTTATAAATATAAATATTTCTGAGGGATCTCAAAGTATTTTAAATGACAGATTCTAGTATAATTACATTCTAGATTCATACAACTGACTCGATGCTATATTTAAATATAGATTCAGGGTTATATATAGAATAATTTTTTTCAGGCCATTTTCAGAACATTGATCACACAGCTAAGTAAATGCCAAAAACACTGGAAGCATCCTATTGGGGACTTTGGCAGCAAACATGTTTTTATCTATGTATTTCTGTGTTACACAAAGATACAGTTGTTCATTTATATGAATGAATTTAAAGTCATCCATAGGAGGTTTTACACTTGATATTCTTTTCTGTTTTCTTATCTGCTAACTTGCAGTCAAGCCCATATGGGAGGCCTATTCAATGGCTTGCTTAAGGCTCCTTTTCTCCGAGTCTCATTGTCTTCCTTGGCAGCGTGCACTTAAAAATAGTTTCATGTTCCCTATTCAGGCTAAGTGGCTCTTCTATCTTGACATTACAGTCTTATCTAGAGAGCCTCTCTCTCTTTCCACACATACACATCTTAGCAAAACAGTAAATTTTCTTTTCTTTTTATATCACCTACTTTTAACAGTGTGCTTTAAAAACAGGTTTGTTCCCAGCACTGTAGAAAATAACCTGTAAAACACAACGAGGCTGTTCACTAGAGATGATTTTCTCTGCCACTTGGGGTTAACAAGGTGAGATGAGCCAGTCAGAAGATGGGTCAGGGTAAGAAAACTCCCAAGTTTCCATGGATCCATAGAACATTTAAAATGTAGCTGCAGCAGAATCTAAAATTACTTTGTCCTCAGGGAAGGATGTCATATCTAATTACTCTACAGAATGATTTTGCAAATTGGTCTTATGCATGTGTAAACTAAATGCACTACCTGACCTCACTCCAGTGGTTAAAGGAAAGCAGCGCCCACATGATCACATCATAATTGCGTGTGTGTGTGTGTGTGTGTGTGTGTGTGCGCGCGCGCGCTTTCAGATCATAAAGAGATGGTTCAGTCTAATAGATGGCTCCAATCTTAAAGCCAAGGCCAAGTACACCATTCACCACGGCTTCATTTCTCCAAAATAAATTCTTAAAACACTGAAGAGACTGCCATACTGGTAAAGAGAAGTCGGCCCCTTCACTCTGACATGAATGAGCTAGTATTTGATAAATGTGCCAGGAGCTAGAGGACACAGCTGGAGCTGTCAATGTTCTCGAGGAGTGACCTAGCATGTAAATTTAACTCAAGTGAAATATAAAATATCTAGCTTCAAAGAAATGGATGTAAGAAAATGAGGTGGCCCTAGACTGGCTCATTGCCTTTAGTTCTCTAACAGAAGTCACCTCATGGCAAGAGATACTGTTTTGGGCTTGGTTCACCTGAAGCTAATTTCATTTGGAACTTTGCTTAGCTATTTAATGTGATGGGGATGGTTCTAGAAGGTGAGAAAAAAATGAACATGAATGGGACGCAACTAGCATAGCCAATCAACAGGCCCCATTCAACTGAGTGGCCTGGCCATGTGCCACAGACTCAATAACCAGACTATTTAAGCAAGTCATTTCCCACCCGCCAAATATAACTGTTGGCTGAAATATGATTCTAGCAGAAAGGTGAGATGTGGAATCAAGGCCCCCAGAGGCCTTCTAGGTTGGGTGGGCATCCATAGCATGACCTGAGGTGAACCATGTACCCCACAGCTGCATTCGTAGTCCACAGCTCTGGAACTGAGCTCTGGATTCATAGTCCACCGCTCTGGATCTGGCCTCTAGAGAACAACATGACACTCCAGAAGCAGACCAAAGAAGGAAGCTGACCTCCACTACCTTATCCTGTGGACCTTGCTCAGCCACTTGACTTCCCTCAATTCCCTGCAAGTAAAGCATTTCTATATCCAGTGGTTTAGTGCAAGATGGCTCCAAATTGCAAGGAGGCTGAGTTGAGCTGAATATGATGCTGAGCTCAGAAATGCTTCTGTTTATTATCATTCCAGCTTCAGGTTTCAGACCAGTAGATACATGGCATAATATAAGGGCAATGTGAGTTCACTCAGATGAGTTTGGTCATTATGGAGCTATTTACAGTGCTCAAATGAGTAATGTAATCTAGTGAAGGAACACTTCTAGCCTGGGAGAAAAAGAAAACCAGTCGAATTGCATCTTTCTCTAAAATTTCCCATAAAAAAATCAATTGAGCAAAGCAAACCATTCCCTGCTTTCTAATATGACCTTAGCCTTAATTTCAACTTATATCATTTATTAAAATTATCAAATGGACAACCTATTTTAGATTGCCATGGTAGAGAAAAAAAAAACTCTCCATGAGGAAAATAAGATGCAACCTGGAAAAATAAGTGAAAAAGCATTTGCATTGGAGCCCTAAGATTTTAACAGTTAAAACAATACTAGGCTGTATCTAGAAAATACTTTGAAAATATATATCTCAAAATAGAATGAGGTTTAGTACAGAAGGCTCAATAAAACTTAAAAAAGCTGACGAATAAAAAGGACAGGAAAAATGACTTTTCTATCTTTGACCATTCCTCACTTTCCTGCCCTCAGACTGTGCCAGCTTTAGTGCAGTGAAGTAGAATAATCTAAAAGCCATGAAAAAGTGCTGGTATTTTCTCATGATCTCTTCAGGACAGTTTCCACCTGGGTGAGTTGAATTCTGATCAAGGCAGCTGATGAACTTTCAATGTGTTTGGAGACACTGGTTCAAAGACCTCGTCATCATCCTCCACCCCTTCCTCTATGGGCTTCATCTTGGTAGAAGATCGCTGCTGTGGGGAAGACACGTCTGTGGAGAAAACCAGAAAGGAAAACTGCTGAATGCACAACCTGCCCCAATAGTGGTGTGATGTGTCAACCATGAGCCTCCACTTGAAAATAAAACTCTGGATGAATCAATGGCTACTAGGAGGAGTGCAATGTCCCTAAATTTAGTATTTCCACAAAACAATGAAGTCAAGAATGAATCAAAATGGAACAGATGTGGAACAGATTTCCACCACATGTGCTTAGTTGATATGAGCTTCTTAAACATAGATAGTGCCTGCCCAAAGGCTATGTAGGACTCAGAATACATTTTCCTACTTTAACGTCATACATGGTGACTGGTATCCAGTATTGGCCCTTGAAAGTTGATTTGACTCCTGATTTCCCTAAAGAATAGTTCTGTTTCTAAGCTATGGAATTTAACTCCATCTGTACTATCTCCTAATGTATGTTTCTTGCCACCTCTGGTCCAGCCATTCCCTGGACTGATAAGGGAGGGGAGAGTCAAGCCATTAGGAAGAAAGACCTGGGGGGAGGGGAGGAAAGTTTCTTGAAAGATAACTACTGACATAAACTATGGAAAATGAGCTCAATTAAAATGGTCCAAGAACAGAATCCTGCCGCAGAGTATAGAATGCAATATTCTCAGGCAAGTTTTTATCCATTTCCACTCCAGAGACATCAAACAACCCACAAGACACAACTTTAATTCACCAGTCTATTCAAATGGCAATGAATACCATCTATATGACCTTGGGACTACTAAGTGTCTTGATTCCCTTTTCTGTGAAACAGGAATAATAAAAAACAGAATCTACTTCAAATGGTGATTATGTGGGTGAAATGACAATATTTGTAAAGCTCTTAGATCATACCTGGGATGTAAATAATCACTTTGTAAATGTCTGTGAGAATATAACATTGATTAATATGGTCCTTGGAGGAAAGTGATTATATAAATAATGAGAATATCTGTCAAAACTCACTATTGCCCATAGAAACATCAATACAGGAAATGGGATTTGTGCTCAGTAGGGGTTTGTGTTTCTGGTCTCAGCTGTCCTGAGTGTAGCAAAATTGTCTTTGCCATAGCCATGGTTTCCATTCCTATTCCTAGCCTCAAGTTATGATCAAGTTTCATAAAATATTAACTGACGTTGAATATTTGTGATCAGATAAAACAAACCCTTAAGGCATAAGATGGCATTGCTAAGCCAAATCAATAACACAGAGCATTTAGACATAATTGATGATCCACATACCAGAAACATGCTCCATTTATTTTGTCTGAGGAAGTTGGACTAATTGGTCTATAGTTGTTAAGCCTGTCAGTCAAACCGGAGGTGATAATCTATAGTTATACTGAGGCTAGTATCCACCTTGGAGCCAAAAGGGTATCGGACCCTCTTAACTACTTCACTTATCATTGCATTATTTTCAGAAATAAGAAAAAATTAACTTCCTGTTATGTTTTATTTGTGGTGGTGGAGACTGAACCCAGGGCCTTGGGCATAATAGGCAAGCACTTTACCGCTGAGCTATGCCCCCACAACCCCAAGTGAAGACTTCACAAGAACTCTCAGCTTTTCTGGGAAAAAAAAATTTATTCTGTTCTCACAATAGTTGTCTTGGCAAAATAGTCAATGTACTTACTATATAACATTAAAAGGATAAGAAGAGACTACAACTCTAGAGGTGACATCCAGGGTTCTCCAACGTGGGCCTCTTTCCTCCTCCTGATCTAAGTCCTTGGAAATTTGCTGCTCTCTAAAGCCACCCCAGGCTTTCCCTCTTTCCTTTCCACCTCTTATCCTTGTCACCAAATTCCTATCCACATATTCCTCAAGACGGGGCTCCTTGACAGGTTCCTTCATGTGCAATCCCAACTCCCTCTGTGGGGAGCTTCTAGCATCAATTCTGCATCACACTGTGGTAACAGTACTTGCTTCTCTCCTTCCTGGAAAGCCAGCGCCTTGAGGCTGTAGGCTCTTCTCTCCTGCAGTCTCACAGAAGTTCCCCATACAAAGCCAGAGCCATCAGAATTAAGCACACAATGATGGGGGTGGGGGGGAATCCCTCCTCTGAAACAACACATGGGGAATTTCACAAATTGATGCTGAAGATGGGGGAAACATGCATGGCCAACATGTTTAATCTGGGACAGGCCTGACCTTCGTCATGGCAGGCAGGCCTCAGGTCCTGGAAAAATCTCACTAGGAAACCTCATCCCCCTTCATGCAGAGATTTGAACCTTGAAAATATTTTCTGAGTCTCTTGTTTTAACCACTCTGCATGTGGCTTCTGTCTGCATTGGACTAGATGCCAGGGAATGGGCTATATTTTTGAGGCTGAGTGACTATCCCTCACTGCAGTTGAAGGAAATCACTTTCACATAATTGGCTGATTCCACACTTCTTACAGCATGGCCAGAGCTCTGTCGTCTCAAGGAAACATCAATAAGGCTTCATAGTACCATCACTTGCTAAAACCGTTTCATCCAATCAGCAAAAAGAATCAGTGAGTGACTGCAAGGTGCTATATTCTGGGTTAAATTGTCCTGGATCAGATCTCCAAAATGGATCAGACCTGGTTTCTGACTCTCGCTTTATTTCTCAGGAACGCAAAATGCTTTTCAGAGCAATTCATCCTCACTGTGTCCACACTATTCTTTCTGTTTTATACTTAGAAGCTAAAGCAAGGAAAACCTGAGGAAGAAAACAGAAGGGTAGCTGCTGTGGATGACTTCATTTCTCATGAGGGGGAGTGAGCTACTCAGACAACTAGAGCCTGGCAAGACTTAATTTCTCTACAAAATTCTGAGAATACTTGATTCACTTTTACTTCAGACCCTGTGGTTGAGTTAGAGTCTACAAACCCTATAAGTCCCAGGCCTCAAGAACTCTGCCTGGATGTGCTTCTCCCACAGTGGCAGATGTGAGGAACAAGGCCTGCCTTGTAACTGACAGAGGCTATCCACTGCCTCTTGGCTGCCTGACCTCTTACTAGGAATCAGAGCCACACAGGGTGCATACTCTTATGGCCATGTCATTCTGGGCCTCATGCATCACTGGGGGCAACTGTGATATTAACAGTCAACAAAATAAAGATCACCTGAGTCTGATCTAGGACTCCAGGACTGTGATGCTAGCAGAAAGGCTGGCTTTGAAGTACAAGGAGCTCAACTGGCACCACTTAGATATGTGCTATTCCCTAACCCTACCAGGAGACCTCCTTGTTCAATGCATAGATCAGGTCATCACTACATGGCTAGAAATGATTTCCTTTCCTCCCTAATAATAGAAAAGCAATTTGGAGTATGAACAACAACAACAACAACAAAATCAGGGAATATCACACTGCAAGGGAACTAGCTTATATTTCACAAGCTGGCCCTTAATGTATTCCTTTTTAGAAGTTTGCCTGGGTTTTCATTAATTTTATGCACTGAAGCATCATCAGAAATTTGTCCTGAAGGCCCAACCACCTTACATAAATGCAAGGAGAGAGGAAGAAATGGAGCTTATCATTAGTTAAGTGTCTTTTACATTACTTTTGCCCTTCAAGGACCTTACTAGGATCTCCACAACCTCTGAATAATGCTTTGCTTTTCATTGACTCTAAGTTTTAGAGGGGCAAACAATTCCATATCCATAAATTTTCCAGAAAACTGGTTATTAAATAATTCTTCTATTAAAGTCACTTTTACATTTGGGAGACAGGGATGGTTAACTATATCCTGAAGCATTTGTTATGATCAGGAAGAGATTATAATTATTATTATTATTTTTTTTGCTTTTAGCTAAAACTGTCTTTCAATTTGCTGGACTCTGGCTTTAATTAGCACAGTTTACTCTAAAAGTACATGAAATATACAGTTTCAGACTGAATTGTACTCCACACTTATCAGGTGTGAAACTGTTAAACAGTAATGTCAAGAGCTACTGTTGCTTGGGCCACGTTCCATATTACACCAAGTGGCAAAAAATAACATCTGCCCCATCCTTTCCTGTAGATACCAGCAAGCAGAGAAGGTGCCGCCAGTGGAGCTGCACTGGTCTCTGACCTGGATGTCACGTGCCCAGTATGTTCAGGTGAGGGAGAAAACTATAGCACCAGCTGCACTCCGGAGGGTCAGAAAGAAAATATCAAAAGCCCAGGCTTTGAGCAAATGTAGAAAACTAATATCTAATTAGTAGTAAAAGCCCTGAATCAAAAAGAAGAAACCTCTGCTGTTCCTGAAGACAGTGGGTGACGGCACCATGGCACCCATCCGGGTCTCTCCTCAGCAGACCTGTTAGGACAGAGGCTGCTGCCTGCTCCTAGCTGAGGAGGATGGGATCTTACTGTGAGGCACCTATGCATGCCTTCCAGGGTCCTTGCCCACAAGTGCAAACCAGATACAGGCCCCTGTGAAGGCACAGCCTTCCCTGTCTTCCTAAGTTAGGAGCCACAGAAACCTTTTTATACATGAACCAGAGATGGGTGGTGTGTGTGTGTGTGTGTGTCTAAACACTGGTACACACAGTAGGACAAATGCAAGAGACATTCCCTTTGTCATAATTCTGTCCCTTCTAAGCTCATTTCTACTTCAGTGGCCTTGTAATTACATGAAGGTCTGAGTCCCTCTTCTAGGAAGTAAAAGCAAACATATTTTTTACTCTTAAATCCATAGTGAAAAGTCATGCGTATTCCTGAGGTTTAGTAACCTACCTTAAGTCAGAGCTGCAAATAAGCAGCATGATGTGAAGTTTGTCAAATGACTTCTCTTGCTATAAGAAACACTTTTTTTTTTTTAAAAGGAACAGTGCTTCTGCAATCTATCTAAATGTAATGTTCTCAGATTACTCTCCCTCTCCCCTGTTCAATTTGATAACATTTTCTTCATTCCTCTTAGAGTGTTATTATTTTTATTATGTTTAACCATCTGGCCAATAGCTTTAGCAAGTAATTAAAAACCTTATAAGGGGTTTAGAATTTTAATTAGGTTATACAATTTTTGATGAATGGGGATGGGGAAGAATG